TATATATACGTGTGTGTGTGTGTGTGCCAATACTGCTCGCTTTTCAGCCATTCATTTTTCCATTTAAACATCAAGACAGCAATTCATGTCTATTAAAGTGAAACTAAAATTGGAACATGCGCGAAAAGCAAGTCATCTTGTAAGGGATAACAGTGACAAGTGTGAGGAACTCAAGAAACTCTTGATCTTTTGTTCTCGAAATTACTGACAGAATGAGTGAGCTCAGATAACAGAAATTAACGGGAAGTATGTCATGAACTTCGAGAGCTCATTAACTTACATTTATATCAAATATTTGTATGTCACATATATCTGGTATATATGTAAGTTAATGGATAGTTTGCAGCTAGTTAAGAAATACGAAAATGATGTGGAAGACGTGGAATCTTGAAGAATGTCTGTTTTAATGAGAAAGCTACTACAGAGGTAATAGAAGACATAAAATAATAGGTGCAAAAATATAGATAAACAGGGAGAGTTTAATTTTATAAAACAGACTATTGTAAATTTAATTAAAGACAAACAACTTTTTCTACATTATGTCCAAAACTATAAAACTTAAAGAAGATGAAGCAAACTACAGTTTGTAACGAGAAATACCATGAAATTATTAATACAAAAGTTACTTAATTCTAATTGCAATAATCATATTTTTAATTCCTCTTGCCAACAAAATGGATATTGTAAATAAATTTTGATATTTTTATTTAGCAAAGTCATTATTTATATATAAATATTTTTTTACACGAAAAAATTAGGTAACCAAACAATTCTTGAAAGTTCTTGTTAGACGATGATAAGAGCATACTATAGAAGCGATAAGTGTGGATAACAATAATAAAAAGGTGCTGAAGCAGGAGATGGATGGTTACAGTAATGATAAATAGCGCTAATAACATTTCAGTTAACTACATATCATCGTTCTCGTGCTCCGGTAGTAAATTTCGTATTTCTGCTTGCCTCCTTTCGTGTATGTTTTGCTCATGTTTAACATAAATCAATTAGTTAATTAATTAATTCAGTACCAACACAACGTAAGTGAGGTATAAATAAACAAATACACATATGGATGATATTACAAATAAAAGGAATAATAATGGTTATGATGACAATGATTGCTGATGTTGATGTCGATGATGATGATAATGATGATGGCATGGCGATGATAGTGTTGTCGTGATGTTTATTTGAAAGGCAAGCGAATGGAGAAGGGAGGAGAAAGGAAGGAGGAGAGGAAAGTAGTGACGTGCTATTCAGAGAAGGAAGGAAGTAGGCATTTTTACTTCCTTTTGAGCGTAACGAAAAATTTCTGAAGTTTCTCAAGAAAAAGGCACAATCGCAGGGAGACAAGCGAAAGCATCAAGGCTCGTTTGTCCGTCCATCCGTCCGTTCGTCCGTCTCTCCCTGGCCTACTTCTTACGCTGCTGGCAAGGATGAAAATTTTCCCTACAACACAACACAACGAACACCCCACAAACGATCCTCTCCTGCACTCTTCCTCTACACTCTTATCTTTACTCTCATCTTTATTTTTCAAAAAAGTATGCAAATCCGGTTTAAGTAGAGCAAATGTTCCGGAACCTCGATTTCAAGCGTTCCGTCTGTTCCTGAATTCAGTTCTTAGCAAGCCGAAAGAGCAAAATTTCTCAGACTCTCGCAGATTACATGTGTACAACTTCTATACCAAAAATGAGTTAAGCAAATTCTCAGACATGTAAACAAGTATTACGAGCTGAAAAGAACAAGAAGTTTGTGAAAACTAAAGTTTGAAATGTTTTTTAGATTCCGAAAATGTTTTCTGCGTTTGATAATTTTTATGTTCGTTTAAGTTTGTTGCATAAGAAAAAATTCTCATCTCAGATAAACAAACTTTCACTTTTCTATTAAAATTAACATTCCATATTGTCAATAAAAAGGCATTTTTTTTATTCATTACATTCATATTTCAAAATTAATGAATGAATGAATTAAAAGATATTGCGAGAGAAATGAGTGAAGAAAAGAAAGAAAGAGAGGAAGACATCGTGATGAGAATAGGATGCAAAAATGAGAAGGACAAGAGTTTGGAGGAAAGGCGATGGACGACGTTTTTCTCTTTCATCTATTGGGTTGAAGTGATGGAAGGGTAGGCAGTAGGCAGTATATTGGCAGTACCCAATGATTGATGACTGCTTTTCACCTCCTACCCCCCTCCTCCCACTTCTTCACGCGCCAACAACATATCACTACACCAACGCACGTGCGTGGTGAGCTCACGACCATGCGCATAAATCTGTGTTGAAATCAGAATGGTATATGAATGCAAGCATATTTGTATAAACAACGAGAGCAAAGTAAATACGTACGTGATACAATTTTACTAATTCCAAGTCGCTGTCATTTGTAAAATAACACGTTTTTAATTTACTCATTTTGGTGTCATCGCTCCATTCTAGCATAAAGGAAAAAATTATTGTATGAAATACGATAGCATCACTTATCATTTTCTGCGGCACTACAGTAGGATCTGAAGTACTAGGCCAATAATAATGAAGGTGATAATCATTACAACGATCATACTGCTACTAATCACTACAACGATTATCAGCACCAATAGTACTGACGACAGTAATAGCAGGATGCCGATAATGAAAAAAAAGAGAAAAACAATTGACTTTAAAAGCTCTTTGAAATTCATTTTTTTATCCTTACTTCTTATTTCTCAGCTTCACATCTATAAATATTTATTGATAATTTAAGTAATAGCTCATTTTAAACACAAATAAATACACATACCTATCCATTTATAAATGTATGCATTTTTACATACATCTGTATTATTACTACTCAAAATAATACATCAATAGTCTAGTCTAATGAATATTTGAATATAATTTAAGCAGATTTTCATAATATATTCATTCACATTTGTTTGATCTACCATTTAGTGAGTAAAATTCTAGTGACTGCTATTTCTACACTAATAAACCAAGAAGAAATTAATAATAATATTAATAAAAGCATACAAGTATTATCTTGCATTTTTTAAAATAATCCATCAAGCATTTTAATATCTGGCTTAAAATCTGAGACAAATTTGTTCTGGACGGTTTTAAGAATAATTTCACGAAAACATAAAGATTGATTTCAATAATATATTGAAGTTTCCACCATGATTATCTAATCCACAAGTAAGTAACTAACTTAATTAGTAAGAACTAAGGCAAATTTCAATTTTTATTGAGTACGTACGTGCCTTTTGCTTTCAATTGAATAGGTAAGAATGATAAGAGCAATTCAAGTGTCTGCTTTAGAAAGAAAAGCCGGATAGCACGTAAATTAGCGTTCTGCTTTCAGCTCCAAATCTATTTATGCAGCGATCTCAATTGAATTTGCACACCTCAAGCAATCTTATCCTAATTTCTAACTCCTCCTAGCGACAAAAATGCATACGGAGACGGAAATTAACATTTGGGAAGATACGTAACTATGCGAAAAAATAATCTGAATGAAATGATAAAAATTAACAGCACTGCATGTATATATATGTTCTGCGATAATTTCAATTATTTAACAAATCTGAGGAAAGTTAACAAGCACTATTATTTAAATGCAGACACAAATTTGTAGCCTATTAAAAACAACAAATACAAATAGTTAAGGAAAGAATGAAGTTGATAAAAAGGTCAAGTGATAAAAGTTAAGCAAAGTTTATGAAATAAAATTCCACTATCAGGGAAAAGAATAAAAATGATAGATGAGTAAGACAACGTGAAATTGCACCCAACATCAAACCCTTCAGATGGACTGACCGATGAAATCTCGTAAGGAAAAAAAAGATGTACCAGAAGTTAAGTCTCACGTGGTCAGTCCTTAGCTGAAACAACTCTTAATCACAACAAACAAGCCAAATTCTTTGCTTTGAAATGCAACAAAAATTGAAAAAGATTGCAAACTTTGTTACTGAGTATAATTATCAGTATAGACCAAATATTTGTTTCAGCTAAGTTTTAAATATTTTGCAAATATAAATGAAGTCATATTTATGCCTCACTACTGCATGCTTATGGATAATTACTTAGGCATTAAAACTAAGAGAAATTACTGTTTAGGAAAGATATTAGTGGTTAAAATAATACTGCCAGCTAACATGAGAGGCTATCGCTTCCAAAGAAAGATGCAGCGCTAAAATAGTAATCATTTACAGTTAATCTTTTTTTCAATAAATTGCTAATTTAGCTGCAAACAACCAAATAATCTGCATACAGATAAGAACTTAAATTTATCTACAAGCTACTAAAAATAAGTGATTATCGCAACAAAAACATTACTCAAAATTAATTACTCATATTATTATTGATATCTATGCAAAATGACTGAATGAATTAAAGAATTAAATGAATGTGTGAAATTGGTACAGATCAAATTATGCTGATCTGGATTGCAGCAGTAAAAGTTCAGTAAATGAATTAACGCAGAGATAAAAATACTGAGTAGTTGGACATAAATGAAAAAAAAGGAGTGAAAAGAAATAATTCATAAAAGAAGTTATTTAACCGTTTGATGGTTTGTGGGGTAGAATACTAACATGTAAAGTTAAGAATGATATAGTTGCTTGTAAAAAAAATATCACCAAAAATATCATTACAAAAATATGACCATCATTATGATCTTTATCAGCATCACCGATATCATGACTAAGATTAGTGCCCCAATCCAGATTAACAGCTGCGAAAACTTGAATTATCCTATACAATCCCTATCAAAAATATTTTACTAGGCTGAAAACAACTCTGGCACTCGTAACTCATCTTTTTTCCATTTCAACTGAATTCATCTAAAGTTCTAATAACCTAAATCCATTCAGTAAATACAAATAAGAAGTTATGAGTATAAATGTGAAGCTGACATCAGTATACTTCAAGTTATTTTTAAAGCTTCTTCGGCTACTTTGTAACCATCCATGTATTTTTCTTCTACTAAATAAATTATAATTTTTTAAAATGTTTTCAAAACAATTACAAGAGACAATGACCAACAGTGACGAATAAACAACGATCAGTATTCGCCACTATCATTTATTCCTCTCATAGCAATTACAACCGAAATCTGAAGCTTTATTAATAGAGAAAAAGTTTGTAATTCCTGCCTTCCTTCCATCTCTCCAACTAAATTATTAGCAGTCATTTTACATTAGTTATAATCCAATCACACTTGATCTTACCTGACAGATAGACAAATCACTTAGCAAAGAGGAGAAGACAAATTGTTGATGCAAAGTAAATAAGTTATTATTATTTATCATAATTACCAGTACAACTAAATGCTTCATTTTTCACTGCTAAGCTTGTCAAGATCTGTTTGTTTAGGCATGTCATAACGTGATGTATTAAGTAATATATCCTTTTATTTGTTTTCACCATTGTTTCACTTGTGGAATTGTGATTAATCATAGATGATGATTTTACCACCTATCTATCACAACGAATTACCAATTATCATGATAGATTATCATTGATTATGATAAATTAGCTATGAAATACTAGAAAAATTTAACATAAGATGAATTTAAAAAATACTTTGACGTAATGATTACTATGTTCTTATAGTACTTCCTTCCTTCATCTCTTACGCAAATAACGTTTGAGAGAGAATATTGAAAAATTGAAATATTTATGTTTTTTGGCGTAAAAATGAATAGAGCAAAAATAAACAAGACATAGAGAATTAATTACTTCAATAAGTACTGAACATGCATGACAAAGACAACAAATTGTTAAAATAATATTAGATTAAATGATATTCATAGTATCTTAGAGAATCAATAAATTTGCATTTTACTATTTAGAATTTACCATATTCAAACAGAATAAAATTAACGACCGATGCAAAGCTACACAGAATAACATTTTAGTATTCAATTGAAAAAATTTTTTTTAATTATATTTTTGTATTTTTAAACTACTTAGTACGGAAAGAGTATGACATATAATTGAAGTTCTTGGATCATGAAAAACAAAATGATCTTCCAGTGATAATCCGATAAGCCTTACATCTTCAATTTGTTTTTGAAAACATTATGTAAATGAATTTGTTTGAATTACAACTACCCTTTCAATATTGAGAGCAAACTGTAGATGTAATTACCGCACTAAAAGAAAAAAACCACGCACACTAATATGTTGATTTAAAAATATGCTTAATCGCAAAAATTGGCATGCAAAATTTAAATTATCAAGTGGAAAATGGTACATTAAATAAGATGTGAATAAGAACGTACGGTATTTGCAGGCAAAGTTTGTTCCATCTTCACATTTTTGATAGTGGTAGCAATCGTAGTAGTAGCAGATGACGTTGTGTTACGATCATTATTACCAGCAGAGGATACGGAATGTTTTGGAATTATTGAGGATGAGTGAATATTCTGACGCTGATTACATGAGATTGATGTTACAACTGAATCATAAGAAGTTATGTTGTTAGAAGCAGTTCCCGAAATATGGCCAAAATTGACGGGAATTTGTCCCGAATTATCTAAAGGGTACATAGGCCATTGGCTTGGATGAGAAGGTGGAATCATCAACATCTTATTTGCATTTGAACCATTTCGCAGCCATAGGTCATCCATGATCAGAAAATAAGGAGGGTTATTAATACAAATATTATATGCCTTAATAGTAGTAGCACGTTCTCTCGACTAGTTTTGTACCTTCTAAGTAAAACCCGATTAATTCTATTGCAGTTTCTATCGTATGACCTGAAAAGGAACTTTTTTTTCTTGCAACTTATCATGGAAGAATCCCAAATGTAATCATTAACGACTGCAGCAAAGACAATACAAAAAATAGAAATTATAAAGTGAAGGAAAGAGTGTCATTCATTCATTCATATCACACATTTCTATCGCAAATTTCCTATGCCTTTTTAACCAACCAAAATTTTAGTTTTTCTTCCGCACAAAATTCACCAAATTTACGAACAGGAAAGGAAAAAAAAAAGAAGAAAACAAATTATTACCTTCGTAAGTTAAGTATTGCCAATTTTGTTTCTAGTTTGGATGAAATATACACTGCTTGTGCTTCTATTTTGAATAAATATTATCAGTAAGTTTAGTCAATATAAGAATAAGAATCGTAAGTAAGCATATCTCTGCACTGTAATGGCCAAGATTACTAACAAAATAATTAGACTTATGACGCGCTGATTTACATTTGGCGTGTAAAAATTCTTATCAATAATAACAATAGAAGTTTATATTCTGATATAATAAATGCAAGCAGCAATGAATAATGAAAATTATGTCCAATTATGTTTTAAAAAAATACAATAAAAAACGTGACGACTCTTAGATTTTCACTTATTATTTGAAAATATCTAAATGTTTACACTTTGGATTCGATATTACTTTTATAATTGTACACCAACAAGGAGGAAAGTGTGACAAAGTGGGATTCTGAGATATGGGAAAATACTAGTCTTTCGTATTCATTTCACTTGTCTGTGCGAATTTGAAAACATAAATTTCTTGAATTGCTTTGAATGAAAACAATTTTCGGCTGCTCAGCATGAAGTCCGACCTTGGAACACTGCTAGTAAAGACAAAATTATCCAAAAAAGAAAATTTTTTTAAAAAAAAAAGTTTCTTGATGCAACAAAACAAAAAGTAAAGGCAATGAATCTTCATTTAATAAAGACTCATTTATAATACTTCACCGATTTATTGCTATATATGGTCAAACTTTAAATCTGTAAATTGTGGTTGCAATAATTCAACGGGTTGCATGGTAAGGTTAAAAAGTAAAACGAATACAAAATTAAATTTCTGGCTCATCATGAACGGCTCTTAAAACTTCTGCTTTTTCCTTATCTTCAATCCATTGAGGACTTAAATGAGAGTGAAAATATTAAACACATGAGCAAAACTAGAGAAACACAGTATAATTAAATCTCATTTCGAGTTTTGATCAGTAAAGTCTCTAAATCTCACAGCATATGCGCTTTCAAATTTAAATGAGAGAATACTCTCTCCTGACATATTTATTTAAATTATAATCTTTAGACTTCACTGATACTAAACGTTAAGGAGGACTGTTTTTTCCCACCGAAATGCGAACATAAAGTTGCAATGATTACCAAGTATGAAACTTTTTCCGAAGCTACACGATTTTTGTTTTATATAATCAATCAAAAATGCAAAGATATTGTAGAAGAATAAGTTTCACGAAAGTAAGTTTTTCACGAGTCATAAAATATTTGCAAATGGTTGAATTAAAGCAGGTTTGAATCTCTTCAGGTAAGATGATGGATATTCTAGAATAGGTCAGGTGGTGAAATCGATCAGTCAAGAGGGTCAAATGGTAACTGAAATAAGTAAAAGAGCAGAGATTAGCATGAATGGCATTTCCTCAGAATTAAGTATATGTGGCAAAATAGTGATACTAATAGGACCAGTAATAATTACAAATGTAAGAAAAAAGAATGTTTTTGTTTTTATCATTCATTAAATGTGGCCTGCAAATTGTTCGAGCCGTAATCGCAAGGAGTGAAAATAGTTGCGAAAAAAATCGCAAGTATAAAAAAGAACACAGTTAAACAATGTGTAAATGAGTGAAAACATGGAATAAAATCCATTTTCGACACTGATAGGATAGTTTGAATCGATAGGAAGATAGATAGATCGAAAGATAGGTGGACTGACCGATAGATTGATAGAAAGATTGATAGGTATTCATTGATGTTGGCAAAACTAATACATCTATCTATCTTGCTATCTATGCCATTCTTTCCCTTCAAAATTGGCATGTAGCTTATATATCATCTAGACTAGACAGTGATTTATTCAACTAGCAAGCATTCATTGATTCGATTGCGCTCAATGTCTTGAAACGCATCGGGGAAGCAGCTGCTATCCTCGTTTCTCTGTGAGTAACCCTTGGATGAATATTAAAAAAACTGCAATTCTCCGCGGATAAAACTCAGAGAATTAAGCATATAAGAGTAGTGAGGAGCGTTACAAACTGACTCTCAGAATATTTGAACAATATATGTGAAATATTTTATGTCAAATATTCAACATCTTAAGAAGAAAGTATTTTTCATTAGTTCTTGTAATTGCAGAGATGAAGGTGACAAGTTTTCTAATTATTCAAAACAATATAAGTTTTTAAACTGAGAGAATGAAATTTATCGCTCTATATTTTTTTACTCTTTTGAATCCATCTTGCTATCAGACTGAGTGACCATTTTTTATTTTTAAGTCACAATAATTATGAATACTATCGTTACACTTTTATTAATAATTATTGAATTAAAATATTCATGAATAAAAAAATTTGAAAAAGCCACAATTTTTAAATTTGAGATTAAAAGATTATAAAATGTCCAGTTTTTAAGAAAAGTTTATTTTAATCAAATTTTTTTTTGCCTCAACAATTTTAACTTTAATTGCGCCATTGCCCAAAAGTGAAAACGTTATAAATCAGTGGGACTTTTATAGATAGATTTGGTAATTTGGGTACAAAGAAGAAATGAGAGGGAACTGTATTTATATCCATCCTAGAAATTAAATTTATAGTTAAAATTGGTACGAGATGGTATCTATGAATGCTGATACCATCGCAAATAACAATTATTCAGTATGGGATTTTGGGAGGTGGCTACGTTTTCTCACTGCAAAAGAGACGTGATTACTTGGCTGCATTTATCTGATCGAACCTAAAAAACTTCATTGGACGAGAAGGAAAAAAAAGCCATTTGCTAATTTTAGTCAATGATTGATTTACTACTATATCAACTCAATTTCAAAGTTGCAAGCAAGTAACATATGAATATAATTTGTCGATCTATCACTTGTGCACATAAAATTAATGGTAAGTAGAGAGTTAGAAAGTGAAAAAAATTAGGAATAAGCGGAAAAAATGGGTAATGATGTTTGAGCAATTGCACTACTTTTGTTTTTTTGAAAGAAAATTGAATAAATGAAAATCTTCAGAGTATTTTGTATTTTCACGGCTTTCAACAAGTGACTATAATCTTTTTATCAATTAAACAAAACAAAAAGCAATATTACTACACAGAAAGAAGAAATTATCACAAGTTTTTAATTTTTACCACTTATAAAAGAATTGTTTAATTAATTTAATTATGTATTGAGTAGTAATAATGAATAATAACCAGTAACTTGTTGGAAAAACAACATTTTTAATTATTGAAAGGATTTGGCAGATTTAAAAAAATACGTGTAATAATTGAAAACAGGTCCTGACCAGTAAGAATAATGGAAGTAAACGAGCAATGAGTTGCTTCTAGCAATTGTTGCTATGCGTTAAAACTAACTTTGTGGAGCTATCAAGTTTGAAGTTTTTACAGGTAGCAAAATAATCTAATTTCATTAGCATTTTTAAACGGACTTTTCTTCTGTTGTTTTCTATCAGTTGCAATGTACTAGAGATAACTAACTACCAGATGCACACTTATCACAAATGAAAATATTTTGCGCTGTGATAGAATCATAGATGAAAAATTTGAGTTCAATAGTAATACTAAACTAACATAACTGCAAAATACTGAAAAACATCGAAAGTCAAAATCTTTCGTTCAAACCCTGTTTAGATCCATAAAAACTGTTAAGTTAATCCAGAAAGTTCAACGATACTAAATGAACCAGCATATACATGATTGCGATATATAAAAAAGTATATAGGTAGATCTGTTATCAGATTCACTTTTTGCCCCATGTTTTTGAATTTATTTATTCAAACTCAGTGACAGAATAGTAATAGTAATAGCATAGTTCTTCGAGCAAAAATCAAATTCGATTACTGTCTTCTCTCTCAAATGTCAGTCAATTTGATTATTTGATTTGTTTTTAGATGCTGACTGAGTGAAAAAGGTGAGATGCGAAAGTGAGATATGGTCAATGGTTACTTTTTAACGATTTTTGTTTAACTTTGTAATGAAGTGAAAGGTACTTATAATGAATTGATGACCATTGACGTGTGTTGTATCTATCATAAAATAATACCAACGAAGGTAATAAATTGTATTTTATTTCTATTTAGTAATTCATGATGGCATGTAATTTATAGCACTTATATGCTTTATTTGACTAATCACTGAAGACAATTGTTCATTACCTCATGTGAATTTTTTCATTTTAGAGTCAAAAAAGCTGTAAGCAAAATACGGAGAATCTCAGAAACCGAAAAGTCAGAAAAACTTTTAACTAATAATGAACAAACAAGGGACTCATATCTAAGCGACCGTAAACTACAATATTATTGTGAGCATCAAAGTGTCAATAATGAAATTTAAACAAACAACGTCAAATGTTTACTTTACTACAGTACTGTTTAAGAAAAATGAGTGGACAAATGAATTATGCCAAAAAATTAAATTAAAAAAAATAATATAAAAACTAAGTTTATTATTAGCCTGAGATGATAAGTAAACGGACTTAGTTAACATTATTATTTCAGTTTAAAAATTTATGCAGCTGAAAGTTTTCTGTGAAAGAGAATAAATAAACAAAGAATAAAATAACTAACAAATGTGTAACATTTCTAGAACAATTCTCATGATTTTCAATAATTTAAACGGCAAATTAATCATTCACTTGTTCTGGGAGCA